CGACTCCGTGACACTGTGGTAAGTGGTATTAACTAACCTTTGCCAGTGACTTGCCTCTCTTGTTTCATTTTGAGCCAAGGGCAACAGGTATTCATTTATCTTTGTCCTTATTGGTTCGTCTACTCAACTTGCTGTAAAATAAGCCCCAAAAATCCCCAGCTTTGATATTTACCAAGAGTCGTGAAAACTGCTTTGGTTACCATGCATGCCAGACTATGCTGAGCAGTACTGGCACCAGCATGGCCCATGACTGAGTGCAGGACTGGAGCCAGGGAAAACTATGTTGCCAAGATATTTGCAGAGAAATGAGAAAAACTAACTAGTGCTTCCCTGAGCCTGGAAGTACCACTTGGTTCCCCATGCCTTTGTACACTTTTTGCTTATTTGTGATCACTGGTTGCTGGGGACTGAAGCATGGGCGTGAGACAGTGGGACACAGGTACAAGCCCTGGGCCTGCATGGAGGCACCACGCTCCTGCTGGGCTCTGGAAACTGCCCTGAGGGCAAAGCAGGCTGGGTTACCTAGCTCTGATTAAGGGCATGATTCTCCACACACCGTGCAGTTGGTGGGGTGGCCAGGGTCATCTCCCATCTGAGTGATGGAGACAGGCAGGGCAGGTGCTGTCGGAGGTATAGCTGGACCCACTGGCAGTGGACTTGCTGTCAGCATCTCTGCCACCAACACTTTCCATCTGAGGAAAAGATCCTTCCCTACAGCCAGGAGGTCTCCCTGGCTCTCGCTGGGCAGGACCACCGGGAAGGCCTGGCACCTCGGACAGCATGGCTGGGATTTGCCTTTTCTCTGCATCTGGTACTCAAGAAGTTATTCCCAATTAGCTGAAGTGATGGGCTGGTGTGATGAAAAACCCTCCTCCAGATGCCCTGCTGCTGCGTTAAAATGGGTTTACTTTGGTTTGGTGTTTTGAAGTGGAGTGACCAACTCAAGTGGACTCCAGACCAGGGATGCATTTAGCAGAGTGGGCAGTGGGTATGATGGCCTGTGGTGATAAGCTCTTTGTGAGCAAAGCCTGCTCAGAGGGGAGGGAGTGAGCTGTCTTGTATCAGGACTGCTCTAATTCTGATTAAGACCGTCTGCCAAGGGGTTTACTGAACTTCAATCTCTTCCAAATTTAATACAGCTTAGCTGTTCTGAATGTTTCTGCGTGACTGACTCTTGGTTCTCCAGCCCTGTATCCTGCTGTCTGTGCAGGGTGCCATGGGTTTTGGTGAAAGGTTAGCCCCTGTGGAGGAGGAAAAACTCCTGTCATTCAAGGCAGGATGTGGGTAGGACTGATAGTTCCACATCCCTGTCCCGCCCAAGGGACTCTGCTGGACAAAAAGGCCCCATTCCAACCCTGGCTCCCAGAATTGCAAACCTAGAGCTCCTAAGAAATACCAGCAAGAAGCTACTTCCAGAAGCTTGCACAGGTTTCAGCAAAAGCAGAGGTTGGGACTGTTTGACAACGAGGTTTCACTGCTGCCTGTCACGTCTCAGATAAAGCTTCAGGAACAGGATTGTTTGCCAGTAACCACCACCTTGTGCTGATGTTATCTAGTTTCTGCAGAATGAATTTGCTGAGTTGTCATCTGTGGCACTGTCAGGGGAAGTCCTGACTCCTGACACTGCAGTTCCTGCCTCTGCTTTGCCATAGCTCCAATTCCAGCAGCATTATCTGGGCTGGTTGGATTTGCTGGACAACTGCTTGTCCTGAAATTGCATGGAGTTGTCAGGAGGAAGTGGGCATCAAGGCTGTGCTGCAAGCCTGTAGGCTCCCAAATCCAGTCAAGTCACTAGGCAGGCTAACAAATAGTTTCTGATTGAGGATAAAATGGCTACTGACAGCTCATTGCAAGGTGATGCTGAACACCTGGTGACCAGTTAGCAAGAGGGGGTTTGTGCTAGAGCTACGTGTGGGTATCTGCAAGTGCCTCTCAGTACCCGGGCTACTGGCTTCTGTGACAGAGGCAAGCTCTCTGGGTGCCAGACAGAGGCACTGCTGCATTGCGGAGACATTTGCTGAGTGAGGCATCCCTTTTCTTCTGTGCAGACTTTCCCTACAAGCAAAGTGACCTGATTCACTCACCAGCTTCAGCCAGCAGATAATAGATGAGTAGCTGATAGGTGCTGGTGCATGCTGGCACTGCTGTGTGACCAGGCAGGATGATGGCACCCCATGCTGCCAGTATAACAGACTGGCAGAACCAAACTCACTGTTTGAACTTTGGTTCAAACAAAATCCCTTGGCTGCAGGCGCAAGGTGTTCTCTGTGTCTGTGCTGCAGAAGCAGACATCTGTTCTGCTGCCTATTGGACACCTCAGGTCACTCGATCACGTGCACAAGTTTTAAGAGCAATGCAAACTGCCAGTGTACCCTACCTGGCCACTTGCACGTGAGATGGAACCTCATTCAGGCAGGACTTTGGGGCACATTTCTACATCTGATAGCAACCATCCGCTGCAGCCACAAAGTCTGGCATTGCTCAGCAGCTGGATTCGTATGCTGGGGTAGCAGCACCTCAGCATTTCTCCCAGCCATGCTCTGGAGCATGCCTAAGTGCCAGCTGGCACATAGGTGGTTTAGATGAGAGTGCCAATGGGTACAAGGCTGTGCTCCAAATTCAGGATAGAACTACCTGATGGGTCGCTCTCACTGTGCAGCAGCAGGGAAAGGAGGAAGGCTGCACGACGAATGGGATGAAAATCCATCCTTTATAACTGTAATGCCACGGTACAAGGGAGGAAGCTTCCCTGGCCTGCTGTGGTTGCTTTTGTCTGCCCCACTGTGGCAGACAGTTGGGAGACATCCAAAGATAGGTGCTGACCTGAATTAGGGCTGCAGGAAAATTTCCCCATGTGGGGACTAAAAGTCTCACTAGTTTAGAGTGGAAACTAGTGAAATGCCATGTGATAGAGATGTGCAGAGCAATGCCTGGCTCAGAGATAAGTCTGTTCCTTTGCTCACCCCCTCACAAGATGTTCAAAGAAATGGAAAGACAACTCATTTCAGACTGGTAAACTGACATACTTCTCACAGAGCCAGCAAAGTGGTTTGTGCAGGTGGACAAGATGCCCTTTTGGCCAACAATTTCAGAGGGCTCACAAGGAACCAGGTATTAACATGAAAAACAAGGATACCCAAAACTGAAGTTAAAAAGTTTGGCTTAAATAAGACAGAAGATGGCATGATTCTTGGACATCAAGTTTGGAGTTTGGTAAAGAATGGCGGGAAGGAGTTTCCATCTTTTTTCTGTCCCCTCTTTGAAGCCGATGTTGGCAGTATTATTTATGTCAGGAGGACTGACTCTTCAAGTCAGGGCCTTGCAGCAGCACCACTGCCATGGCTTAGAGTACAGCACTTCTCCCTCATCCCACCTCCAAAGCACTGTCAGGGATGAGGTGCAGGTCACCTGTGTCTGGGCACTGGTGTTAGCAGCCGCTGCCAAAGCTGTGGGCAAAGTAGCCATGCCCCGGGAGGCTGGTTATGGAGCTTGTCTCTCGTGCCAGGGTACTGAAGTGTGAGGATGGAAAGCACAGGATTGATGGTCATGTGAAACTATCCATCTCCCTCCGTCCCTCCCTCTGCTGCTCTAAGTCCCCTGAGGAAACTTGTGGGACTTTGTAAGCCCTCTGAAACAGCCAGCAGTAAATGGGTCCTCTCTTGTGTTTGGGTGTTGGACCATGAGCCTCCCTCCCTCCTCGTGTTTCTCTCAAAAAGGCATTGAAGAGCCCTGAGTTGGGCAGGGGCTCCAGGGGATGGACCAGGTGTGGGACAGGGGCTCAGCCCTGCTGCTGCCTCTCCTGGCAGCCTGCTGTGGGATGGCTTGTCTCCCAGAGAGCTGGCAGCATGAGAGAGCCGTGGGTGCGCCAGTGTGCACCAATGCAGAGCATCCGGGCTGATGGGGCTTGGACACATATTTGTGTTTTGATAACTCTGCCAGTGTGGTACTGCCAATCAGCACTACTTGCACATTGTACCTTCTGCACAGCTTGTCTACTCCATGCTCCCCCGTGCTGCCTCTGACATGCTGTGCTCCAGGACTGCTTGTACAAGCCTCACACATGCCCGGGCACAAGCTCACTGCATGTGTACCCATCAGCACAGCTACTTGTGCTGAATACCTCCTCCAGCTACACTGCGTGAGCTGAAGTATTTCGGAAGCTCATTCCCACCAAATGGGGTGGGCAGAAGGGAGAACTAGTGTATACATCCATGTAATCCAAAATTGAAGCAGATCCCATTGGGGTGGGAACACAGTACTGGTGTGAGTGTTGTTCACAGCCATCTTCTGCTGAGGTGGGTGTCTTGGAGTCTAGCTGTAAGAACATGCCCTAAATAAGCTGTACTCAATCCTTGGGAGTCTTGGACATGTTTTATGGTGATGGGTGGTGTTGAAGAACATTTTCCTCTGAATAGCATCATGGAGCAGCAACGTAATACGCTCAAGAATCATGTATTAATTTAAGAGACGAGTAACACATTCACCGTCCCCGAGTAACACATTCACCGTCCGCCCCCATGCCATGCATCATGGGTGCAACCAATACCCAGTAAACATCAAATCCTCCATCAGGCTGTGGTCATCCCCTGGGAGCACAATTTTTGCTGCTTGGTCACTTCAGTTGGATTCACTACAGCACTAGCAAAGGCCCAGGGTTGGGTCCTGCTGCCACTGTGGCAGGGCTGGACAGCCACATGCGCCTCTCCTGCTCTTGTGGTAGCCTGGAAATGCACATGCTGGACAGCATGAAGGATGCTGGGGCTATAGCCACTTACCAACACCAGTAAGTCTACCCCTGGGTGGATCAGCACTTCTGGTTAAACGGGTCACTGCCCTTCCTCTTTGGGCCTTCCCCGTCATCACCGAACGAGACTGCCACCAAGATGAGTCAAACTGTCAGACAACATCTGCACCCTCCGCACGCCCCGTCCATGCGCTTGGATAGTTCAACTGCTGGGCTCAGCCCAGGCAGCGGAAGCAAAGGAACCCTGGTTGACTGGGGGGCGTCTGGCAGCTGAGCCTTTTCAGTGTCCCAAGTGTGGCTCGGTGATCTGGTCCATTTCTGACAAGATCCCAGAAGCTAGACAGGGCCTGTGGAGGCAGTGAGAGAAAGTTTTGCCTTAAATAGATGTACTCTATTTGGGAGTTTGGGATCTGCTAACCTGGAGACTCCTGTAAGTGCACATCTGAGTACTTGCTCATGAGCTGCAAAGTCCTTGCCAGGAGAAGATTAGAGGTTGCTCAACTAATTACCCAACCAGTTTATTTGTATAGGACAGGAGAATGTGGTTCACCTCTTCAAAATAGCCTCGGGTGAACTCTAGTAAGTCTGTGTCTTGACATAGAAACTCCAGTACATGCTGGAAGTCTGACCCTGACAACCTCTTGCCAATCCTTCAGCTGAGAGCTCTAGCCAGGCTTGCTTTCCCCCTCCAGTGAGGTCAGATGTACCCCAGCTACCTGGAGCTTGTTGTCCATATCTGGAAAGCTAACATATTTGGCATTTCCTTTCTATAGCTTCCTTCTTTTAAAATATGAACCAAAGAAAGCATTACTAATGACATTCAACCCCCTCCCCCCCTTAAAACTGGCAAAGCCAAGTACCACAGAGCTAGAAATTGCCAGAAATGATTTGCCTGGGCAACCTAACTTCAGCTGTCTTGTGTATATGATTACTTCCTGCATTTTGCCCTGGATTGCCACCTCTTCAGCACCCAGACTAGACCTTGGCTGGAGAGAGCAAAAAGCTGGTCAGCTAGGCTGCATCCTTTCTTAGCAGGTCTGGGAAACTCCTATGCAATTGGTGAAGCAAGGGATTGCAGAAAGAAAGGAGGGTCTCCTGGTAGACAGTTGATGCCTCCCTGGAGAGCTGGGTCTGTGTCTACCCCTGCCTCGAAGTTACTCTGTAAGTTGGTAAGCCACATAAGCAAGAGCTTTCACAGGAGCAACCATGTCTTCCTCATTTGCCAGAGCTGCTTTACAGAAGTGCTAAAAGTTTGCAGCTGCAGTCACAGACATGAGGATCTGGGGTTTGATTAAATTAAGTGTTATATAGGGCCAAAACCACTGAAAAATTTAGATCCTGGTTGTTTCAAAACATGTTCAAAACAAAATGAAGTACTTACAACCTGAATCTCTCTTTGTCTCTTCTTTTGCACCTGTTAAATAGGGATAACTCCACCCCCAACCCTGAACCTGAAAAGGTGGCTGAGAAGATAGATTAATTAATAACCCTGAAGAACTCACTCAGCACTGAAGCAATGAGCACTAGAAAGAATCCATGAAGAAATGGAAAAGCAGGATGTTGGAGCAGTCTCTGACTGCAGGACAGCAACGAAGGTAACACAGCCTTCCCAGGGAAGAAACCTTAGCGGGTCATGAAGTTACAGAGCACAGCATGTTGCTTGGCATGAGGCTGTAATTACAGTGTGTTTAAGGGAGTTAATTCTGGGATTTCCATACTTTTGAGTGCTTAATTTATAGTACTTGTAATTTATCAGACATTCAGATTGTAAAGTGCCTGTTTCCTGTACATTGGCAGATTGCATCCAGTAAGGACTAAAAGTGTTGGTGTGATGGGTGTTTGCTCTCTGTTGGGTGGGATGAATTTGCTGGGACTGTGCTTGAGCTCTCCTGACATGACCTCCCTCTCACACTCATTCAGCTCAGCCAGGATGAAATAGCTCTGGTGACTGAGACTGGGGAAGCTGCCCACATCACAGACAGGACCAATACATGCTGACAGAGCAGGACATGGCAGAAGTATCTGGTAGAGAACAGGGACTTTGTTCAACGCAGACATTTGCTTGACATCTCTTATCAGCACTGATTTCTACACAAAGGTCTTCAAACTCATGTGGGGAATGATAAGGAAATTGCTGCGATTGTCCAAATATTGTAAGAAATTATTTGCATAAAATGCTACATGCGAAGCAGAAACAACCTCAGTGGTTTATAGGAGGCTGAAGTTGGTAGCTGCTCTAGCCTTGATTTTTAAATAGCACTATGCACTGAATGATTGTGCAAACAAGATGAGTGAGATGCAGTTTTGAATGTTACTGTCATAAGCCTGTAGCAAGTGAGAGGGCTTGAAAGGAAACTCCTGCACCCACCCATGCTGAGGAAGCTAGTTACACAGGACTTTGGAGGCAAAGGTGCTGGCTGCAGCTAAGGCTGAGAAATGGCCCACGTGCTCTCTGGGCTCTGAAGAGCCCTTTTTTTTTTTTCAATTTCATTTTTTCCTTATTTAAACCCTGGAAACATAACATCCTACAGAGACAGGATTCAACCTCTATCCTTTCCAATAGAGGTTTTTTCCCAGCCACTTCATATGGAAGGCTTGAATAACTTTCCTGAACTGCCCATCCCAAGGTCTTCCTATGCTCATCTTGCTTTGAACCTCAGATCTGCACCTTTCCTGCTGCAGTTGGAGCCTGTTGCTTCTTACCCTGCTCTGGCTGCACAGAAACCAATTGACCACCCTTTCCATTACAACATATGAAAGACCGCTCCTTCCTCCCCACCCACTTCCCACCCCCAAGACTTCTCTTTTCTAGGCTAAATGGACCCAACTTCTTCACTCCTTTCTCTTAGTGCAATATTTCTATGTATTTATCTTTTGTATTGTTCTCTTCTGGACTATTCCAACTCTGGACCTGGGACTCTTAATGGGTACTGGCCCTGCACAGGCAGTACAGGGCAGTGATCTCCTCTGCCTTGTCCCAGCACCCTAGACCTGTACCCAGCTCCTTTGCGACACCTCTGTGCTGCTGGCAAAGCTTTGGCTTTCAATGCTCTGCAGCCCCTGGATTTTTCCCTGCTATTCTGCTGCCCTGGTCGGTTATTCCCCAGATCTTCTATCTACATCTTGCTTTGCTTTATATTTGCATTTGTTCTTGCTGAACTGCATCTTGCTGCTTTCAAACTATTTCTTCAGCAGTTGAGATCACATTAGGCCCAACCTCCAGAGTCCCTGCAGCCACTCTGTCCCAGAAGAACAGGATTCCCTTAAGCGTGCTGTTACTCAGAAGGGACAAATGCAGGACTGGATGGCCCCATACTTCCGTTAAAACTCTCTGGAACTAGCCCTTCTCCATCAAGCTGCTGGTCCAGCAGTAACCTAACACTTGCAAGTTCAATCAATGCCACTAACAGTGATTTCACTGCTACTGTGATCAAGATCAAGAAACCTAAATGATTCCAGAGAGAAACTCAGGGGATGTTATTCACTATAAATTTAGTCACCTATGTCAAGCACCAAGATTAGGAGAGTGCCTCCTGAGGCTCCCCCTCATAGCAGGGGAGAGCCTGGGGAGGGGCAGCAGGAAACCAGCTCCCCAGCCTGCAGCAGGTGCCAAGGGCAGCTCCCACAGAGCTGTGAGCAGGTGCTGGTGGAGCCATGCTGGTCGTTTCTGTTGCTCTGGGTTGGGTGATTGCATCTCTGACCAGAGGAATGGCACGGGCCACTGCCTGTGGTGACAACATGGGTCCTGCCCAGCCCAGAGGAGCACTGTGAAGGCTCTGCCATCTTCCCATCAGGAGATACTGTCTCACAGCAAACTTATTCACTCATAAGTGACAGGAATTCATTAGCACTGTAGCCAGCTTGAGGGCAAGGAGTGTGTTTGGGCAAGGCAGAAAAAGGGATGTTCTCTTAGTCCCACTCAGCAAGACCAAGTGTCCAAGCCTTCTCCCCTGCTGTCGCTCTCTCCTGAGGTGTCTCCATCAGTTGTTAATAAAAGCCCAGCTCTGGGCAAACCAAGGTGCAGCTCAAAACTTTCCTCCTGTGGATCAAAGAATAGCCTTTGCCATAGACACGTTCTGGACACTTTTGCACAGACTGTCCAGCTCCTGCCAGGACACCCAGCTTCCCTGGACCACCTCCTGCCAACACACCCACCACCTTCCCGATTGCCTCCCTTCAGATACTGGCCTTGCTAGATATAAAAGGAAGGAATTCAGTTTATTTGCCCAATAATGGAACAAGGCTATTTTTCTCTGAGGAAGAAGCTCCCTCCATCCTGCCCTGAGTAACAGCAGCATGCAGAGCAGGATGGGCTAGGCAGTCTCTGAGACCCACTCACCAGCAGAGGAGTGTGGTTTCCTCAGGAGAGTGGGAATCCAGCACTGTGCTTCCTGGAAAGGAAGTGCCGCTCAGGTTTGCAGAGTTCAGAGGAAGTGTAGCGATGGAGCAAGTGAATGGATCCTTCAACAGTTGTGCTGCTATCTGGTGCCTTGGGAAACCTGAACTCAATGCCCCTCATCTCACCAATGCCTTTGGCTACTCCATGCCTGGAGCCAGCCACACCGGAGGAGCCCTGCCTACTACAGGGGGGCTCTACTGCCAGGAGATCAGGTCCCTCAGGGTGGTTCACGCCAAGCAAGCAAACCCTTGCAGCCATGTTAGAAAGTATGGTGGATCCTAACATTTCTCTACAGCACACCAGGAGAAAAAATACACTCCAGGCTGTGAAATGTTCGGATAGTAGAGCCAAGGGTAGGGCACCAGTGCCACAGGATCTTTCTAAAGAGGGAAATGGGTCCAGTTTTGCTACTGGAGCTAAGCCAGACAATTTCACCAAGCTGCTCAGCCTGCAGCCAGCCCCATGTGGTCCTTTTTCAGCCCCACATTTGCCCATGTGTTGGCTCTATGAGTAGTGGCAAGGATGGGAAGAAATGCCAGCAATGCCCATGCAAGTCCGCACTGTGTTCCAAGCACATGCACTTTCCGTGCTGCAATATGTCTGCAAACCCAAAGCTGCCAATACTCTTGCTGTAGTGACCACTGCATCTCAAGTGCCCTTGCTGATGCCCTGCGGCTGAGACTTGCTAGCTGCTCCTTCTTTAGGCAGGAGAAACTCAAACAGAATACCAATATGCAACAAAAACCAGTAAGGAGGAACTGTGACTTGCTGCTTTCCACAGGAGAGGGTTACTGTGGATGGGTTCATGCCTGTTTCTATATCTGCTCCTTACAGCGCATGCAAGAACATAGGCACTCCAAAGATACGTGCTCCTGTCTGAGAGTAGAGAGTCTGTGTTGGTGTGTGCTCCTGGTTCATCCCGGTGGATCTGATAACATGAGCAGATGAGAAAATAAATGGTCCCTGCTTTGGCACTCCCTTCTCCCGCATTGTCACCTCCAGAGCCACTAGCACTGAAGCACTGCTGTCCCAAGGGCTGCTTGCATGTCTTCAGTCTTCCGAGGTTCATGCTAAGGATGGAAGTAGTCCCACAGAGCACAGCCCAGGGGACAAACAAGGGGATGCAAAGCAGCTTCTCCTTGCTGCTGTCTGCATGGGCTGATCCATAGATCCTTACATTTACGGCACTTTAATTTGTCTGCCAGGGTTAATATTCCCCTTATGGGCCAGTGGTGACATACTGATGAATGTTCTAAAGTGCTAAATATCTTTACTTTATAGAAAATACTAGTCCTACCAAATCCAGTCCAAATATTCTATGATCCTGAGCCACCTTCTTAGATAGGACTGGTGCTTCATCGTACCCATGCAAGCCATCTGTACAAACAGCATTTACGTGGCACCTGCTGAGGGTACCCGTCCCCTCCTCAGGACCCACGTCAATGGTGTCAGGGATGGCAGGAGGCGGTGGGTTGTGGGGAGATGTGTGGCTACCTGGGAATTTCCCCAGCTGGCTTGGGGTGACCGAGGCTGCCTGGGCCTGGACTGACCCCCTGCCTGCATGGGGCTGGCATGGCACGCAGTGCCCCTGGAATTTCTGGGGCTCCCAGCAGCACCTCCTCCGCACTGCCCTCCTTTGAGGGTCCAAGTTTCACAGCCAGAGCTGGGGCTTTTCTTCCTTTCCATCTCTGCTGTTTGTCTCAGAGAAAACCCATCTTGTTGTTTTTCAACTGCCTGAAGGTGTTTTTCGGGGGTTTTTCAGGCTATTTTGAAGCTCATTTTTCCCAGATGTGCTTTTTTTTCTTCTTCTTTTTTATTAATTTTTTTTCTTCTGTAACTTTTCTTCTTTGCCTTAAAGTTTCCGGCCACGTGACTTTCAGCTTACATCCCCGAGGTTCTGAGAAACCACAGGAGGTTGAGACCTAAAGGGAAGGTGCAGAGCCTCCGAGAGGAGAGGCAGCGAAAGTGTTGGAGTGTTGGGCAGGAGGACAGTGTGCTTCTGGGACGGGTGAGAGCAGGGAAGCCAAGGACTATCTCAGAGGTGACAGAGGAGGGTGGGAAGAGGCAGAGAAGCAAGACAGAAGGCAGGCACACCAAGAGGACAAAGGAAGCTGAAGAGACCCTGGGAGCCACAGCCAGGAGCCATGCCCCACAGCTCCGACAGCAGTGATTCCAGCAGCTTCAGCCAGTCTCCCCCTCCCAGCAAGCAGGTAAAGCAGGGACCTTCCCCAGCTCTCCCCAGATGGAGAGTCCTTTGGGGTGGGCCATGGATGGGTGGGAGGTAGGGTGGCACCCACTGTTGGTGTTTTCACAGCACAATATGGCAGAGCTTTCTAAGAACAGCTGTGGGGAGAGGGATCCAGAGCTCAGCCGAGGGCCCTGGCAGGAGCCCTAGCCACTGAGGTGGGTAAAGGAGGAGAGAGAAGACCTGGTTACCTGTGGCTATGCCAGAGCAACTGAGGGGCCAGGACCCCAGGCATGGTGGATCCTGCAACACATGCCAGGCAGGCAGGAAGCTTCATCATGAGAGTTGGTGCTCTGGCAAGGAGCCTGTGCAGGCACCTCCTGTCCATGAACTGGGGCAGCTCAGGGCCCTGACACTTTGGGTCTGCTTTCTCTTCTGTTCAGCCTCAGAGATTTTTCATCTCAGTAATGCTTGACAGAGGGATTTTGGTTTGTTGGGTGGTATACTTTAATGCAGGTCTTTTGCTGGCAGATACTGACACAAATCCAAGATGTTCCCACTGCCTTTTCTGACTAAGCTTTATTATATCTGTCATTTGCCATTTCTCTAAGGCTGGCAACAATGGCAAGTACCTGAGACTTTGCTCAGAAATCTTGGGGATGATCAGGGCAGATGACTTTTGGTTTGCAACCAAGGATGAGGAGGCATCCTTGTAGAGAAAGGGATAAAGCACAGGGTTTGCCAAAGGATAGGGACTGGACTTCATGAAGAACCTGCAAGATGCTGTATCTGAGATATTTTCAGGGTCTTGAAAGCAAGGACAAAACGGTTAGGTTCAAAGAAAAAAAAATCTTGGGCGGGGGGAGGGGGGAGAGGATGTGGACAGATTGATGGGCTGGGAAGATAACTTTTGTGGCTGACTTTTGTAGTCTTGTGGAGAAGTGGTGGTGTGAATGTTAAAGAGTCCACAAGAGGGGCAGTGCAATATGAAAATAGAAGATGAAAGAGACTGTTTGACAGTTTCAACTGTCAGAAGGCGGCAGAAAGACCAGATCTCAGCAGAGAATGGCTGGTCTGTGAAGCTCATGACCTGGAGCCTGGAGATCTGTTCTTCCCTGCCAAAGGAAGTGTTGCAGTCAGCATTGCAGGCACTGCTACCAAGGGAATCCAGGAAAGAGCAAGCACAGAGATCAGAGAGCTGAAGCAAATGAGATCTGAGTTAAAAACAAAAGCTCAGAGTCTGTCTAGTCAAACAAAGCAAGGACCACATTGCATTGATTGGTAGGGTCCACAAGAAATAAAGCCTGAGGGAGAAGGGTGATGGAGAGAGGAGGGACCTACAGGGGTGAAAGGAGGAAAACACAGATTGTATCTTTGGAAAAAACAGTTTATCCAAGGATTTGAAATGTCCACATTGCCATTACCCTGCAGACAGACAGGGAGGGGAAAGGTTTTCTGTACGAGAATTCAAATTGTCTCTCTTCCAGAAGGAGGTCCTTACTCTGGTCCATCAATCCATATCCCAGGCCTGGGTGTTGGTGAAGGGAGAGTAGTCATTTCCCAGCAGTACTGGGATGCCTAAGGGTATCAGATGTGCCCCTCCTGGACAACGAGGGTGCCAAAACCATCACGTCCCTGGGCTATGGCTTTATCCTGGCATGGAGGGTGTGTATCCCATGTCCTGTGCTTCAATCATGTTATCTGCTGTGTCCCCTTCCCACTTACTGCTCTGCAGGACAAGGGCGAGGGAGGGAATGCCCCAGTTATTTCTATGGCTTGTTTCCCTAGGACTCTTCTGATGACGTGAGAAAAGTCCAAAGGAGGGAGAAGAATCGTATTGCTGCCCAGAAGAGCCGCCTGAGGCAGACTCAGAAAGCAGACACACTGCACTTGGTGAGCACTCCCACTCTTATTTGTCCTCAGTACTGAGGGCTCACATAGGACACAATGTGCTTTTCCCCTGGGACTTGGTGTGGAGATGCTCAGTGGAAGCAGGACAGGAGAATTGAGGCCAGGGTAGGATGTAGGAGTTAGCACTCACAGCAAGAGCACACAGCCCAGGATGACTGCCACTGAAGCATTTAGTTTTGCACCTAGTTTTGAATCCATCTTTATATCTCAGTCTTTCATTACTGATTTCCTTTTCCAGTCTCTTCTGACTGAGTCACTCAGAAGCTCTTTGAAAGCACAGTCTCACCCGGGCTGAATTTCCCTGGGTTTGTGATTCATGCCATCATTTATGCAGAGCTGTAACAGCATACAGGGATGCTTTTCTGTGGCACTGTTGGCACTCTTGAAGCTCTTCTTGGTGTGAAGAATTAGATGTCTGCTTTTCAGAAGGGATGGCCACTTCTGGCTGTGTGTGTTTGGGCAGGAGTATATGGTCAGTGTCAGAGCACAGGGGCTGAGATCCTTTGAATTTTGCACGGTGATAAGTGCAGTCCCATATGTTTTGGGCTACTGGCGGGCAGGATGAAGAACACACAACCTGCAGTGGACAGAGACCATCTTTATCCCTGCACTGGCTTGGCTGTCATTTGAAAAGCAGTAGTTGAGCTCATGTTCAAAAAACCATCCTTTGACTTAGCGATCTTCATATACCCCCATATCCCAATTTTTTGGGAATAATTCTTGAGAATTCAGTCCTGAACCTTCCTCCTGACATAGTGGCCTCATCACATGGTTGGAGTTGGGTTTAAGGCAGAGATTTCACTCTTTTCTCAGTAAGTGATGATCGTTCTAGAGCTGACATGGCTCTAGGCTGGTTGCATAATATCTGCCAGCAGCAGTGGCTCTGGGTGACTGTGCCTGAGAGGGGTAAAGAAATACCCTTTCCTTGGGGTCAGTGCTCTCTCCAAGGTAATCCTAGAGGTAGATATGGGCTCTGTTCCTTCCCCAGGAAAATCCCACCTAGCTGTGCACTGAGAATTGGCCTACTTTTCTTAGAGCAGATAGCAAATCATATGAGATTACTACTGCTCAGCTGGCATTGATAGCACACAGTCCTTGCCTTCCCATGGGGATGGGAGCAGCAGAGCTAAGTCCTGGATCCTGACAGACAGATGTAAAAATGCAGAGAAGCAAGCAGAGGATGGATGGTGAGTTTCTGTTAGATTTTTTTCCATTTCCTGGTGGCTAGTGAACGCCTGCTGCTCCTGGGTTTATTCCCTGAGTGCTCTTTGCCTTTGGTTGATTCTGAATCAGGGACTTTGGTTCCTTGAAGTGGTTCTGCCCAGAAGAGCATGGCTCAGCTTAAGCTATGGTGGTATGAAAGGAGCCAGCAGCTCCATCTGCCCCAGGGTTTTGTAGTTTGTGTTTTGAGAGGAATGAGTCATGGGGAGGCTGGAGCTCCCAGCCCCTGGGTGATTCCCATCAGTTCCTGAGTTCCATAGCAGTCATGATTTCCAAAGAATTTGGTCATGTCCTTGAGATGCTGTGTGACTCCTGCAGTGACAGCAGCTGTAACTGGTAGGTGTGTTTCACCTGTGCAGGGAGAGCAGGTGCCATCAGAAGTCAGCATGGCAGCGGAGGGGTGAGCAGGGGGATGACATGTTCACTTTGCCAAGGTGGTGGTGCAGCTTTCCAGGGCCTCAAAGTGCTGAGTCCTGCTTTAGCTGTCTCGGCTGAGATTGCAAAGCCTGCTGCTGCATCCTCCCTCCCTCCTCTGGTCCTGCCCAGGCTGCTGGCTCCATGGTCAGTTGGTGCCTGCGATGCTCCAACCTGGAGCTGGCTGAACTTTACAAGGTGAGGTAGCAAAGGCTTCGATGCTCTCAGTGTCGTTTAGACGAGGCTGAGCATCTTTATTAACCCCTTTGTTGTTATTCTCATTAATAACAGTATTGATTCAGTTCTTCTGAGGCCTCAGTTTCTCTTTTCTTCTGACTCAAGTGTCTTCCCCTCCTCCCCTCCGTGCCACTGCTTTCCCCGGCTGCTAGCAGGAAGCAGTGAGTCTCTTCTTTCCAGGGCAATGACAGGTTTCCTGTGACAGGTGGTTTTCTGGTTAAAGACGGCGGTTATTCAGCTCGCTCTCCCCCGGGGGCTGGGCTGCCCGGGAAGCACCCGGAGATGTGCGTGTGCATGAGAGGGAGCGAGAAAGCCTGGGCGGGAGCAAGCCACAGTCACTTCTCGTAAGCCGGCACTGGGGAGCGTGTCTGGGGCCGCCAGCATCGCACTTGCACCCGGTCTGGCCAGCTGGGGGAGGAGGGTTTGCCCAGGCAGGGCTCTGTGACGAATTTACCAGAAATATGTCATTCTGGAAATTCTGTGGGGCAGAGAGGCGCAGGACCACAACCCCCCTGTCCCTAGCTCATCGGCTCCCACACTGAGGAAGTCCCTGTGGTTTTCTGTCCTCAGGAGAGTGAAGACTTGGAAAGGCAGAACGCTGCCCTGCGCCGGGAGATCAAGCAGCTGACAGAGGAGATGAAGCACTTCACCTCGATGCTGAGTTCCCATGAACCACTCTGCTCCATCCTGACATCCCCTCCACCGCCTCCAGAAGTGCTTTACGCCACACACTCCTTTCACCAGCCCCACATTAGCTCCCCACGCTTCCAGCACTGAGCTGGAAGTAGGATGACAGCCTGCCAGCTCCACTGATGGCAAGAAGTAACTTCGTGGGGCTCACTTTTCCATCCAAGGGAAGGAATTGGACAAGTGGACATTCCTTCTTAAAGTGTGTACTCTGAGTGACTTGCCTAAGACTTACTTCCTGTGCAGAAATGGCGGAGCCACCACAAAGCATCTTGGGACAGTTTCCAGCTTGGATCCTGAGAAGAGGAGGCAGTCACAAAAGGGCACCAACTCCCTTCTGTGGTGCTTGTTTGGGCACACTCACAAGAGCGTGCAGCACCGACAGCCTCCATAAGAGTGGCTGGATGTGACATGCAACAGCCGGAGCTACAGGAAGAGGAATGGGAGCAGGGGTGGAGGAGGTTGGGGGCCACAGAGTATCAGGGAAAAACTGGTTTATTTTTGTAAAATAAAGATTGAAAATTCTTAACTCTTTGTTTCCAAAATAAGGTCTGAGTGAATCCTGGCATGATACAGTGAAGACACAAGTGGAAGGACAGGGAGAGCTAGGAGTCCAAGAAACAGCCCTGCATATGCAGAGGTCTAATCCAGGGCCAGCAACTGCAGCCTCACATTTAGAATGGGGGCCCATGTGCATAGGCTAGGCAGGCTGAGGAGCAATGGTTTGTGAAGTGATAGGGTCCCTGGGGAGGATGGGTCCCTCCTTGCTGCAGGGCTGGACTTGGCTAATGAATCTGATGTGGCATGTAACATCACAGGTCTCTTCCCTGCTGACCCTCTTGGCTCCCTGCTACTGATGGCTATACCTCCACATGTTCCCCTTGCATGTGTGGAGGTGCACTGCCATATCATGGTAGCTCACATGCGGCTCTTGGTGGGCTGGTGGAGCCTTCAGGCATGGAGGGAAGTGGTGATGCTGTGCTGGAGTGCACAGGAGAAGCAGGACCTAGCAGGACTCTTGCTTCAAGGCACCCTGCTAAGGTATGTAGCTGTAGCCTATGCTGTTTCCCCTTGCCCACCAGTCACAGCTCTACAAAAGACTACTGCACTACCTCATGCATTGAAACAGATGAAACCTGAAAGGTCAGAGAAGATTAGGTTGGTACTGCTGGGTGTGATCTACTGGAAACACAAACTGGTCCATACAGATGGTCTCTACACCTTATATCCCACCAACCAGCAGTCACCTACCACCCCCCCTCTATACACAAAGCTGAAGCCCACCTGTCGGTGCAGGTCCTGTTGCTAATGGTGGCTCAGGACTGCTGCCATCTTAAAGGAACATCAGCTGCAATTTTTTCAGCACAAGCAGTGCTGTTGGCACAGGCTTTTAAATGAGAGAAATAGATTCAATTCGTAGATATCCTTCTTTCAGGCGCAGGGAAGCAGCATATTTCATGGGGTTTGGCCCATCATCGTAGCCCACAAGAGAGGTTGGATAAGTCTGTAATGTGCTGTGCTGCACACATTTTCTCTCTGGTTTGCACTAGCAGGAGGATAACCAAATACTGCCATGCCTCAGCAAGCTGCCCTCAGGAGATGCACAGGTAGCACTGTGATTTCTCATTCCATGATCTATTCAGGTGCTTCTGCCTCCAGTTTCTGGCCCAGCATGGGAAGCACTGTAGTCAGAGACACTTAGTGTCAGCACGTGGGCATGGGTGTGGGCATCACCACCCTACAAAAGCAGTGCTGAGGCAATGGGCAATTGCACTGGCCCTCCCTGTCTGTGCAGGTCTGCCCCTTGCCCCAAGGGGGATGTGCACACATAGGGGAAGGATGGTGGTTGTTCCAGCCAGGCAGCTGGGTTTCTGCATACAGGACATGCAGAATACATCTACAAGAACAATTTCATTGTGTCTTACACCAGCCCTCTGTGCTGGATCTCACACCAATAGGCTTCACTCCATCCACTGATTCAACAAATAGAGCTGCCGATCCTTGCACAGGCCACGCTTTGAGTCACCCAGGCTACAAAGGCTCTTCCCAAAGTGCTTTTCTCTGGGATTTGTCCTTTCAAGCCTGAGAGAGACAACTGTCCTCCAGCTCTAGAGGACTTTGTCTTTACAGGCTCTGCTTCTGCTCCTTCAGCTTCTGGTAGATTTTCTCCTGGATTCTTCACTTGGTGTTCCTCAGGGCTCTGATGGTTCCATGTTTTCTGGGTTACACTCACAGAAAAAAGCTTTGGCTACCTTGCTTGGGGTTTGCTGTGCAGGGAACTGCAGGCTCACGCTCCTCACGGAAGGATGCAACAGAGCCCTAGCACAGCTTGCACTGAAAACATAGTGTCACCTAGAACAAGAGATCTCCATCCTTGCTGTGCCCGTTGTGTTTTCTCATGCCTATAAAATGCTAAGCTTGGTTTTAACTGCAGGTGGAGAAGGTCCTACACTGATGTGTATGTCAACTATGCCCACGCAGACATGAAGCCAATATTTTTGCTGCAGAGCTGTCGAGGTCTGAGATCCTTCATACTGGGTGGGGTTCACATAATGCCCACAGAATTGCTAGACTACTCACTGGTAACGTCTCAGACCTATTACTGCGACTCAGAACGAAAATAAGCGGTAAGTGGTGAGACTGGAAGACAGGTTTGCAACAACATCCTCTCCAAAACTTAAACAATGTTCTTGGCACATTCAGTTAAGCTGTCTCTCCTCTGCATGGCTGGCTGTGAGCTGGAAGGCCTCCTAGCAGGAGCACTATGCTCAGCCGTTTTGGCCAAACACTGGGTGTTCTGCTGGTGCTAGGAGACATATCTTCCAATCTGACTTGTCTTTGCCCCAGTCTTGCCCTCAAAAACCTGATCACAGAAGATGATCTGCACGGTTCAAGCCTGTTTTGACTTCTGTTTGCTTATAGTGATTGTGAGGTGTCTCGGAGGCAGTCTCTCTTTGTTATGAAGAATGATTCTCCTGGGGGAATGTCCTCATCACCCAAGCAGCGTCGGACAACAGATCCTTTCAGAGCCATTAGCCCTTTCAACCAGTGGCTGAGAAAAAGATCTTTTCCTGAGGCTATTTGCAGAGCTGCACAAGCTGCTTATTTAGGCTGTGTGAGGAGATTCTTTCACTTCTGTACCGGCACTGTCTCTTGCTTCTTTTCCCTGGGCTCCGGGCCTCTACTCTCCACTCTTCAAGCAACTTCTCTTAGATTTCGAAGTAGCCAAGTGCCTGTTCTTCGGTGTGGCCCTTGCTGTCCTCAAATAAACTGTAAATGAGCCTAAAAGAGGAGCAAAGGGCAGGGAGGTGGCCAGGGCAATTATCCCCGATTGCTTTCGATTGTCTGCTCCTACCAGCAGTGCAATTCCTTTCGACATTCATTTCCACGGCGTCTGGCATTTCTCAAGTGCTGTGGTACCTGGCCATGCCCAGCCTGCAGGACCACTGTCGTGCTGGCTATTCCAAGGGAAGGGGATGCTTCTGGGAACACAACTGGAACACAACTGTGGCAGCCTGTCCCTACCCAGCAGGACGTCAGTGCCTGTCTATTGCGTACTCGTGCCTCACTGAAAACCTCTCTCCAAGCAGTACATAGATGAGGGGGTCACAGGAGGCTGAGAGACTCTTTCCCAGCCGGGGAAGGCCAGTCGGGGAGAGACAGCTCTTCTGCGAGCACAGCCTGCCGAAACACTGCTTGCGTGCTGGCCTCTGCTGGGCGAAAGCTGAGCGCTCCCAGCCTGCACCTGCACTCTTCTTGGCAGAGCCGGTTTGAAGGTTGTTAGCCTGGCTATTGCCAGACTAGAGGGAGGACTGAGCGGCTCAAGGCTAATGTGTGTGATGGCAAGTGTTGGGTAAGGCTGCCTGAAGGGGATGTCCATGTCCAAGTGGAAGAGCGAGTCTATAGTCTCCCTTAGCCAAGGATCTTGTTCTTGGTCCAGGGACCTGTTCTGCTTTGTGGTCCCAGCATGTTTCCATTGTTGTGTGAGGGTATGGGGAGCTTAGCTTGGTGTTCCCCACCTTCCCCAGCTCCCGAGGGGCTTGCAGAGGTGTTTGCAGGCATTGCTGGGCTGGATGTGGGGGCTGAGCCTGAAAAGCATCACAGGTGGAGGGAGCTACTTGCTAAAATAAACAGATCTGACTGCAGCCCTGATTAACTATAATCACCTTCACCAGGACCTGAGATAAGAATGGTAGATTTCAGTGTTTTGATATCCAGAAAGGCTTTTGTAGAAGCACTTGGGCTGTATTTGTGCCCAGCAGCCATGTCCCTGGGGCTCTGCTGCATACTGGGCAAAGCCAGCCGGAACTGAGAGCAGGTGTAATGTGGCACTGTGAGGCAGCTGCCGTGGGTGCTTTTCCAGCCTTAGTGACCATTGCCTCCACATTCACTTGCTGACTGGTGTCTTCTTTGCAGAGAAAACAGAGATGTGTGGCAAACATCTGTTGATACAAGCAGAGGATGGAGAAGGCAACTGGGGAACAAGAGAGTTACATTTTCCTTTATGGCCTTTACTGAAATTCAATACCTCCCATGGATCGAGGCATCCTGGCAACTGTGCAGAAGGATAGCAAGTCACAAAGCACAGGGGGTGTTGTAACTTTCTCTCTTTCCGTCCCCCTAAAATCACAGGCTCAGCACTTTACAAGCCATCTGTATCAGCATTTCAGGCATGCTTTTATGGTAAGATAAATAAAGACAGGACATTCAGTGCTGACATAATCTTAACGTATCTCTCCCGATGCGAAGCCCAGGGCAATCTTTTATGTCTGGTATTCCCTTTCTGCTTCATACTCCTCAGCTCAGCTGCAGGCTCTCCGTGTGGCAGGTGCCAAGGTGGGGAGACACAGAGCTAGCCAGTCCAGGGGAAGGTGCATTCATCCCGCTGTAGGGGGCTGTTATGAACTCAGGTGTCATCACTGTGATGCCCTTTCTCTAAATTGATTCACACGTGAATTTTTCTTCTTGAGGGGTACAAAAGGGGGAATACCCAAGCACTGTTTGCATGGAGTCAGAAGAAAAGTAGAGGCACATCTTCCATTTGGCAAAGGACAGAATAAGCAGCTCTGTTGCCCATTTTGCTGTGGCTCCAAAGTATTTATGCACTTGTTTTACAAATCCCATCTTAGAATTCACTTTTGTTAGAGCTGCCAGCCTGCATCAGCAAGAGGATAATCTGCTGCATACTGGACCAAAGCAGCAGCCCACAAAAGAGACCCTCTCTCTGCTTCTTACAATGATCATAGTGTCCAAAGCAGCACTTGTCATACAAGAATTGCTGCCTGGATGCTAATATTTCAGCACACACAGATCAAAGAAGATCGGGAATCACTGCTAAGAGACAAAGCATTTTTATAAATCACAAGCTGTCAAGAAGAGAAAAAGCAAAGCATGGGATGAAATGGTGAGACTTTTCCTAGCAAACATCACTCTGCTCACTTTGTCTGGGTTCTGCCGTGGTTTTGCCACCTTATTGAT